AAAACCATGTTTCCTTTGCCTGAATAGCTACTTTCCAAAAAAGGTGGGACAAGTGAAAATTTATACAACTTCATGAAACTATGATCACTGTACGGATCTGATTTGCTCTTTTAAGGTTCTATGAAATACATAAAGGAAATCTGTTTATAGGGTGAGGCTAAACTAAGCAACCATAATACCAGCTATGCCTCAGCCTCTATGTGTAGGAGGTGACAGCGATTTGTTATAGTCCAGATAAAAGTGGCAGAAAATAAAATGGCAACGCTTAATTCAACTTGATCACTACTTTCAAAATATTTAAGGTGGTAAAATAAAACATATATAGCCATTTATTCTAAAAATCAGTAAAATATTAGTATTTAAAGACTAAAGGGTAACAACGTAAGGGTACTTTGAAAATATATACCAAATATACCATATGAAGTTGAATGGAACAAAATTAACTTTTAACCTATTTATGTTTAGCCATTTTTATAAAGTGACCTAGTATCTAGGGTAAAATTGAGTAATTTTCTGCGATCGTGCGTGGTTAGCACACACTACAATGTTGCCTCTAGCTCCGAGACTAGTAGCTGAGCCCATTCAGGAATCGGAACTGCTTTACACAAATCTTGAAGCTAAAACTAATAAGTCTCCGCCCTTTTTAGCATTAAGCTGCACATTTCTTCGGCGGAAGCAAGCTTAATGGCGATACTTTATGTAGTATTTTATAAGGACTCCGTTCCTTAAGGACTTGAATAGAACCCTGTTCCGGCGGGTCTATTACGTATCTTAAGACCAAGTGCCACCTATACAGATTTTTCATATATTATTCGAAGCCAGCTTTTATCTAGCTTTGGTTATATATACGGTTTTCAGTGTAAAAAAAACCAGTCTATCTTATAGACTCGCATCAACTCGGTATCGGACAGATCAAGAAGAGCTTATAAATAGCGAATCGGTCCTATTGCTGTGTTGAATAATAGTATTAGGAAAAGTCGGTGGAAAAATGTCAAAATTATACACTATGCTAACTCGATTTGATTCCTATTGGAGGTGCTTTCGAGTCCCAAGTCAGGTTGAAATTGCAGTTAACCCTGGTTAAGAATAACTTTTGCAATACAAATCCAAGTTAAATGCAATGGCATCATAAGCCCAACTCATCTCATAGCCGGAAAATTCCACGATTATTCCCTAATCTCATTTAATTACCCGGGTTGAAAATCAGTAAGACAAATAATTCATCATGAGACACTGTGACAGATCGCTCCTAAGAGAAATAGGATATTCTTAATAAGCATTAGCGGAGCACCCTAAAGTTGACGGGGTTTGTCCTCCCCCAGCTAATTAAAAATGTTATTATAGAGGCATCGGATAAATCTAATAATTTTATTGAGTGAACACATCTCCCTAGCACAGTTGAGAGTCAATGCGATTATCTAATAGAAGGGTGTTTTACAAAGTATGAAGGCAGAGTGGAGTAACAGTTCTTGTGGATCAGGTTTGCCCTAATATTCGATAGAGAATTTTACTAAATTTTGACGTCATTTCTTTAGATTTCTACGTAAGACTTCAGAGAGTATTACTTAAAGTCTGATTTTGCTCAGTATTAATTTGCTACTCGCCCTTTTATTTAGGGAAATCTTGGTTTACAGCATATTATTACAGACTTTTTAGATTGGCACATTCCAGCAGTCTTCGTTTCCTGTGGAATAATAATAATTTTTCGTTCTATTTCGACTCCTCCCACATGAATTCTGGACTTCGATTCGATATATTCATTTGGATGTCTCAATACTCAAATTGAGTCTCCTTCATTTACAACTGCGGTTCACCTGAAACGGTGAAAGTTGATGCCTGAATTCTCCAAGTATTTGCTCGGTGCTCCCTCCTAATGCTTCTTTATTTTGGCTATCAGCTGCTAAGGCGTTAAACGAGCAATTTTTTCATTATTTAATCCTCATAGTTACTCTATCACTTTAGGTTAAAAATAATTTTTTTATTCGGAATCTGATCGTTCGTGAAATTTATCGCGATCTTAGTGGCACCGGGAATCAATTAGAATTTGAACCTAAGGTTGAACTTTATAATTTAAATCTAGTATGGAACTAAAATCCGCATTTATATTTTTCTTAAACACTTAGAGACATTTTATGACTCATTCACAAGTAATTTTAAGTAATCTAAAGTTTATTTGTGCCTTTATTTTACACGTCTAAGTTGCCTACTTGAGTTTCTGCAAATAATGATTTTTAGCTCTATAGTTAACTTTACACATCTATATTTACTGTAGTCTCTTTCAAAAAATACAAAGTTCGGCAGTAGATTTAATATTTTTAACACAGAATGGTGATTTGATGCATTAGATACAGGAACAGTTAGTGAATGGATCCAAAAATATGCTCAGAACTTCTAGTACTAAGCTCAGCTGTGACATCTATGTTTTCATTGAGGATGTTGAATTACTGGAATTTTGATATGGTATTTCCCACAAGCAATGAGATGATTCTTATGAGCAAGTATGATCAAGAGGAGAGATAATAAAATCGGAATTTCTAATGTCGAAGAATATCATAACCTTTACTCATATTATTATGATTAACATTTGGGCTGACTATTCCGTCATATATCATGACTAAATTATGTAAGATGAAGTATAAGTACTTAAATGGTAAAATATTTGTAATGCAGCAGCTATCTTAAACAAATGTTGAGCACACAAAGAATTTTTCGTAGAATTCTTTAAATTCCACTTCTTTGAGAGATGCATTCACCAATAGCTATTGATTCAATCATGATTTTAGCATCCTGATGAAAAAACAATAAAAATTAAAGTTTAGAGCAATTAAAATTAATGTAATTTTTTTAACCAGTTTCATTACATATACATGTGACTCACTTACCAAGGGAAGCCTTAGCACCTCAAATGAGGATCTTGCTGGATAAGGTAAGGGAAAAACTAAAATAAAAATGAAATGTTAGGCAAATATTACTTAACATTTCTCAGTTAAGCCTGAAAATATATAAGAATTTATATATAAAAATGTAGTCTGGAAAAACTACTTATAGAAGAAATATAGGAATTTATGTTTTATTAGACGAGATTCGCAATCTAACATAGTTGAATGGGCAGAAGTGCCTGATTATATCAACAAAGTTCTCTTTTCCTTGTAGATCAATTGGAAGTTTCACCTAATATTTTACTATTTTGCACTTTGGTCAGATGGAAGAGAAAAATGGGACTAGATGAAAGTAAAGGAAAAGAGCTGTTATCTTATCTGGATTTTGAGAGCATTAATGTAGATAGTGAGATTGTTCAGGATAAATTCATATACCGGATTAATACTCAATTTCATATATCCTCATAACTACAGACTGCAGATCAGAATAATGAAAAGCATGATCATCACAAGTCTGAGATTAACGGGCGTGGAATTCTGTGGTGAAGAAGTGGACAAATTGACACAGACTTCCTCGGAAATGGATACCCGAGATAAGCAATACAAAGAAACATACGGGCTCTGAGAAGATTATGGAAGCATGAGGATTAAGAAAGAAAAATAATGATGGAGAAAGTCTCACAAAGGTGGATATGACTTCGTTTCTGGGGGCTAACTCAAAAGCTATGGACGATGATAAGAAAATGGATTATTCGGGTGACCATGACGAAAAACCGATACTCTTCGCAAGTTTACCCAAGCAATATGAGAAGGTAAATAAACAGGATTGCTCGGAAGTTTACTGCCTATCATGCTTCAGCTTCAAGCAGGTAGAAAAATCAGCAAACGGATCAAGGGACATTAAAAGCTCTGCGGGAATTTGGATAGTGAAAGATCAGAAATAGTTGAAAACTATACACAGACTGGACAAAAAATCTATTGGAAGCCGACAGAAAGAAAGGACAAAAGTGGTAAAAACACAAGGAAATGAAAGCTTTGAGGGAAAATCGAGATCCTTGCTGAAATAAATTTAATGAACAAGAGATTGGAGTAAGGCAGGATTAGTGATTTTATTGCCTAAGCAAATCCTGAGTAAACAATGATACGGCAAGACCAGTAAAAAGGCAATGACTTGATTAAGGATTTAACATTAACTGGAGGAATAGGGATCGCAAGGAAGAAGCGGATGAAAAACATTAAGAAATCAAGAAGTTTTCAGTGAGTGTAGTATGCTCTAAGAAAAATGTACGACTTTGGAATCCTGCCATCACAGGACTGGCTAAACGGCTAATCACAATCGTCACAAAATTCGGCATAATTTCTAAGTGAGAGCCACTTATATATATTTTGATACTATCTGTGGAAAGATTCATTTTAACCCTTGCATCCAAAATCGAAATGTTAGTTAACTACACCAAATAGTAACAAATCATTACTGGTCAACACCTCGTAGTTAAATTGCTCTGGATAAGCATAGTACTTTAGTAGTATGCAAAATAATATGTAAAATGTTCGCTTGAGCTGTCTATTAAAGATAAAATTATTCACAAAGCTACGAATCATATATATCAAACGTTGAAAGCGTCGATTTGACAAAAGCCGAAGTATAAAGGACTTTTATTAGCATAAAATCCCACGTTTAAAAATAATTGTAGATTGTCAATATATTACATTTCGTATTTAAATGGAGTGTTGATAAGACCGATGCGAGGTCGAAACTGCAGTCCGCCCTGGATGAGAGCAACTTTTGGGAAAGCAAGGCTGTATTAAATTCAATGGAAACGTCAGCTGTACTCATATCATTGTGAAAAACTTCTACTACCAGTCCTTAATCACCTTAAATGAAATTGGGTAAATACAACCCAATACATTATAGTTAGCTATTTTCTAGTGACCACTTAGATAAAAAAATTCAAAAAATTACGTCGCTGCTGGACTCTATGAGAAAAAAACGACTTAATTCGACACTTAACAATGTCTCTATCTATATTTATTCATTTCGAGTTACGCAAAATTCGTTGTAATCGATGGTATTGTAACGCCTAATGATGTTTGTAAGCATTGACACTAGTTTGACTTAAAATGCCAAAAGCTTATAATAATTAGTTTTTTGTTAAGTTGGTGCGTTTTGTTCTCATGAACGTACTCCTTTTGAATGAATTATGATTATTGTATTTGAATGTAGTACTATAAATTTCTATAAAAGAGTTATATTTCATAAAATTGTGGCTAGGACCTTAAGAGATGTGTGAACATTGCAAAATTGCTATGAAACGAATATTACCTTCTGCGTAAATTTCGTTAACCCCTTCTAGTTCATCTATATTTGTCAAAAATATCGAAACTTTGACTACATGATGCAATGAGAGACCAGCTGATCCCAGAATCTGCTTTATATTCTCCAGAGCTTGTCTTGCCTGGGAACGCGTATCGAGGCCGACGAAATCATTGGTCTGAGGCACCATTCCGATTTGGCCAGTTATAAATAGCGCATTTCCGACTTGAATTGCTTGGCTAAAGAAAGAAATAATATTAAAAATGAAAAGAGTTACAAAATTTTCTAAGAGCTTTTAGGTAATTTGTGGAGAAATCCAAAATTTGTAATCATAGATTTTTTTACTTGAGTGGAAGAGTTTCATTGTAAATAGAGTAAGGTTGAAAAGGCGAAGAGTAAGTTATCTCAATGGTTCTCAGATTTTGGTCTAGGCTTTTATCTTTGGATATAAATCGAGCATTACGGCTCAAAATGAGTACTGGCACGGGTGATCCGCAAAGAGTAGATATTTTCATGCGTACAGTTACTTATTTTCAATTAATTTAGTTTTCCAGACGATAATAAACTATTAAATAAGAGATTGAGCAGTCAAAGTCCACCCAAGATAAGTTTTAAAATCCATTAGGGTGATTTGGGTTTTTAGTAAAGCGATATATAAGTTGAAACAATGGATGTATAACAAATTTGTATACAAATTTCAGTCAAACATTACTTTTTACTCAATTTGTACAGAGGGTGGTGTAAGACTAATTTGAAATGTGTTACCAGCATTTTGTGAATTCCATCCATTCACTTGAGGAAATATATTTGTTTGCCTCATAATAACTATTTTCTATCTCCTTTAGATGGTAAATGTTCTATATGCATTCATTATTTTCTCATTAAGCATTATTATTTAATATTTTTGCTTGTATGTACATGCAGGCTTGTTTGGCCAATTTAATAAGATTTATTTGAGTAAGTTATAAAAGCCTAATTATAACTGTTTGTGTATATACATATCTTTCTATAATTATGCAAATAAAGCTTGATAGTTGACCCTGATGCGATAACTTAGCTTGTTTTAATTTATCATAGGAATACTATAATTTGAAAATATTGATATTATTGGGTCAACATTTGATGAAAGATATCCATCATTCTAGCCGCTCATAGAGATATAACAAAGTAAGCAATTTCAAGTTTTTTTGGATAGTTAGGTTGAATATGGCTGTATGGATGACACCCTGCTCTCAGGATGTCCGTCATATGACAGGCGAAAGCATAGCACGTTTGTACCGGAATAAAAGTATATTGCCTCGAAAACTGCGTCAATAATAATGCTCAAGCAGAGCCAACCGACAGTTGATCAAGAAGAATCCGCTGTCGTGTTCTGATGGAAGCTATTTTCGAATCTCTTCACCAAGCACTTTAACTTGAAATGGAAGTAGGCTAAATTAA